CTTCCATCTTGCTAGCCTTAGTTTATTTACCTCGGTCCCAGGTTTATTCATGACTCGAACAAGGATAAGTTAAAAGTCGATCTCTCTCCAGACTTTAGCACGACCCAGCGGGTGGCGTTTTTGACGGTGGGTAAAATTAAAAAGAGGGAACAGGAGATCCATTCCAGCCCCGCAATAACGGAGCATCTTGCCCATAAAAAAAAAAAAAAAAAAAGGAGGGGAAACCAAGAAACTGTCCCCCGTTCCCAAATTCCGAATGAAGCTCTGACAAACAAACCAGTGTCAAGCAAGTCAAGTAAAAGTCAAGTGACAAGAAGAAATCTCAACTGAAAGTTGCCACAAGCCCTCTTCTCCTCCGCCCAACCAAGGCTCGACCCTCGATGCGAAGCAAGCAAGCAGTCTGGCCGCCCAAGTTTACGTTACTCCGACCAACCACACAAGCACAACGCCCCCACAGAATGACCCCGAGCGAAACGAAGAAATATCCCATCCATCGGTGATTTGGCGCCATTATTGGCTGTGGACAAACCTCGCTCGGTGGTTTCAGGCTGAAACGTGTGCGGTGTGTTCGTTTATTCACACAGGATAGTTATATGAGCTTCCGATTTTTCTACTTTAGTTACGGAGTACGGAGTAGTTACTGCTGAGTTGTTAATCTATCCGTCAGAGCAATTGGTGTTGTCGCTATTTCTATTTGGCAAATTAATTAATTGCAAGTTCCAAGGGATAGATGTCAATAAATAATAACTACTTGCCTCCTCCACGTAAATTTCCCAATTGGAAGGGATGCAATAAGAAACGCCCGTTAGCCTTAGATATCAGTGTACTCCGTAGAATAGAAAACAAGAAATCCTGCCCTCTCCTTCTCTGTCTGACGGCATTATTTGATAACTATTCAATGTTCTTCCTTCAACAACCAATCTCCACAAAAATGAAGAAAGAAGAAATTGATGTCATACTATAGGGAAAATCCTGCCCTGCCTTATCTGGAGGCGAAAAAAAAACTCCATCTAGTCTTTTGCAAGTTGGGTGACAACCACTAATCTCCGCCTCGGTTTTTTTTTTTTTTTTTTTTTTTTTTTCTAGTAGGGGAATCGGGATTGAGGCTTCGACATAGCTAGCAATTTCTGTCCAGACAAAATAATAACATTTGCCCCCTGCGTCAACTTCAAAGCCGAACACACTTGGACGCATTGGTGATGTGAGCTGATTATTCTTGGGACTGCACTCGTAAGTCGTTTGGGGGAACAAAAATTCTCTCGTCCACTTCCAGTTAGGATGCTACCAACTTCATACTCGGTTAAACAAACGTCATTGAGGGGGGTTTTTCTGACCGTTGACGATGAGATGAATTCATGGGATTTTGAACAAAAACCTCATTAATGGCCGTCTAGTTAAACCGGGGGAAACCAGCCATTTTAGTTGGATCGATTTTCAACCCACATTTTTTGCTATAACTGGCCTGGATTTAATGACGCTCATCCCCACTTTGATTTGATCTGTATGAAAGTAGTTTTAACCAGATATTTTAAAGTAAGGAAGGGGGAGAGAACCTTTCCACCGCCGCTAAAGCAAACAATTGTCACTCTGAATAAATAGAGTGTGATGGTGACGGGGTGGAGATGGAGTTGCTGCTTGGTACTTTGAGTCTCCTCACGGGCATTGCTAGAGACGTGCCATGCTCGTAGCTAAACTCTCTCGACCGGTACTCATTCCCCCTGGTCAATATAATCAACTAACTTATATATTCCAGCCGAAGCGGTTATGTTTCTCGCGGGCAATGGGACACATGCACAAGTCTTCATACATTTTTGAGATACCTTTTTGCTTCCCGACAATGGAGCGCCGCCCAATGATTAGTCACTCACTCTTTTAAGCTAATCTCAAATAGGAAATAAGCTAACCCAAATAAATCAGATTTTATCTTAAGATTTAGAAAAATTAACATTTTTATAATTATTTTTTTATAGTTTTAATAATTATAAAAAAATAATCACTTTTAATAAAATATATTTAGATTAAATATTAATTTTTTTTTAAGATAAAAATTATATATTTCTATTTTTCTTCTCTTTAGCAACAATCTAAAATAATTCACAAATCTCAAAAATATATAAGAATTTTATAATTGAAAGTCAAAGTTGAGAAATTTGAAGAATCTATGAAGAATTATGAAAATCTTCAGAGACTCTGATAAGAATTACTCTGAGTATATAACTTAGTGATAAAAGTAGTTTAGTAGTTAAGGCTCTATCAGTTTTTTTTTTTTTTTTTTTTTTTTTTTTTTTTTTTTTTTTTTTTTTATATTTTTATATATATATATATATTTTTACTGCACTGCCTGCATGTCATCTGTGACTGACTCAGCAAGGCCTGAACTGCGAATTACCCGGCAAAACAGGAAGCAGAAAACTTGACCTCGCTAAGTGCGCCACTTGACCTCGTTGCCCCGGTGGCCGAATGGTTAATGCGGCCACCCGGTAGCGCCTTGGCGTGGGAAACCAGAGTGTGTGGGTTCGAAACCCGCAGGGGATACATTAAATCCGGAACCCAAGCACCTCAGGTTCCTAATAAATACAGAGGTGTACAAATTGCTCCAATAAAATTGCTCTATGTTCCTGGGCTGGGAAGTTATTATCGCATGTATTTAATTGTCACTCCTTTGTATTTCCTATGTTCTTGTTATCTTGGCGTGGTCTCAACACCTGTATTTCCTCCTGTATAACTAACACTTGGCCTGTATTTAACATCACGCAAGGACTCATCATAAGCTCCGCTTGCATATGAGTATAATGAAAGAATAATAATAATAATAATAACTTGACCTCGTTATGTAAGCTGACCTCGCAAATGTGGCCCGTGCCACTACCTGACCTCGCTTAATACATCTTTTCTTGTAATTTGAAACTACTCAATTATTTATCATCAATTCTACAATCAATTCAAAATCAATTTAAAATCAATTTAATACTGAAATTATTCTTGAATTTAATAATAAAGTAAGTATTTATATAATTTACACTGAATTGATTATCAATTGATTTTCAATCAATTGTTAATTACTTAAATATATAGATTGAATTTATTTTTATTATTATAATTAATTAACAATCAATTCAGAATCAATTTAAAATTAATTTAAAATTAATTATTAAATATTTTTATCTTAATATATTTTAAAATTCTGTAAAATATCTCTTTATATTCTATATGAATTTGTCTGTTCATTTAATTGATTATGAATCAGCTAATGCTTTGATTGATTGAGTGAATTGAAAGATTGAGTGAATTGAAAGGTTGAAAGTCAATTATCAACTGATTATTACTGTATTGTGCAAGGTCGGGGTCATGATTATGTAACAAGGTCAAGTGGCGCACTTAGCGAGGTCAAGTTTTCTGTATACACCCGGCAAAAGGCCATATTCATCTTTACCCTATTTATGCACGCAAGTAAATAATAGCCCTAGGGTGGGATGGCTGGTGCCGCCGGTGCAAGACACGGCCGAACATTCGCATCTTTGTGAGTCAAAGGTAGAGACAGTCTGTCTATGTCTAGATTCTGGATGCATGTCCAACCTCAACATAACTCAACTCCATCAGGCAAGCTATGTTAAAAAGAAGACAACAGAGCACAAGGAACAGCAAGTCAGAGGTGTTCGGGATGTACATACATGTACATACATGTACATACATGTACATGTACGTACAAATCTTAATCTTTGATCCAGTTGAAGAGGCGCTGATGGCGTGATAAAAAAGTCAACTGCATGCCACAACTCACAGGCAGACAAGACCATGGGCTGCTTGCTGTCATAGACAAACCTGCTGGGGAGTTTACTGTACTGTAACTACCGTACGACTCATCTTCCCCGTTGGGTATTGGGTCACTCAACTCCCTCAGCCACCATCATGAATGGATGATGGGATGATGTTGCATGGCACTGACCAAAACAAGACTGCGAAATCGACATTGATGTAAAATAGACAATGCCTCTTACAGTATGTATATTCAATACCACACAGTAATAGAGAAGCCAAAAAGAAAAAAAAAAAGAAAAATTCATAATGGCCGCACCTCATCACGGTAGTAGCCGATCATCCGGCCACGGCTCGGAGGGGAACAGTTACCTCCGTTGATGATGCTCCAGAGGGGCCGGAGGGAACCCCGCTGCTTGCTGCCTTGTTTTGCAGTAGCATGAACAATCGGATATTACCAGATAGGAAAAATCCCCGGAAGAAAAGGAAGGGGGGAGGCAACAACAGCTGATAGTTGATCACCGTCATGAGTTTAAAACATTTCCAATAATGAGGAGATGTTTATTCAATGGGAAAAATAAAGAGCAGAAAGTCTGGGGTTATATTATTGAGGTGGCAGTTATAACCCGGTGGTTAGAATGGAAACATGTATGATGTTAATGCTTGAAAGCTTCGTTTTATTCAAAGACAAAGATCGCTCTTGAAATAAACGTTAGTTAAAATTAATAATATATTGAGTACGGTCCGTATGTATGGACGGTTGTTGTAGTCTCGGACCTATTTATTATGTATGTACGGAGTACATGTAACATTGTACATGTACAGGTACCATTACATGTAGAAAGATGGAGAAACTTTCCTTTTTTGGCAATAATAATCAGTTATTACTGCGTAGTTACTTTTAACTCTAGCTTACAAATGCCAATTCAACCGTTCATTTTTAACGTCAGGAGAAACAGAGTTTGAGAAACCGTTTTCCTCAAGGTTTTAAAGGAGGCGATTTAACCGTCACGTCATCGGTCGCCACCGCATCAAAATATTTTAACCTTACTATTATTAAATTGGAACGACGCCAGCCCGGATTTCGCCCTGTGGCTGAGCCCTCAGCCCTAACACGGCCAGATGGGATCGAACGGACTTGTTACAAAAAAGGGCCTTGACTTGGGGGGGGGGGGGGGGGGGGGGCGTAGTCAAGATGCATAGAAGCAAAGGGGTTTTTTTTTTTTTTTTTTTTTTTTTGTAGTTTTTTTTATTTTATTTATTTTATTATTTTTTGTCTCTTTCTTCTTGATTTGGAGTGTTAGGCTGGTGTGGAATCTTTTAACTTCAAAGATTCCACATCGAAAAGGCAGGACTTTCTCCCCTTCCGGGTGTGGAGGAGGAGGGAGTAAGCTGAAGAAGCTTCACATCTCACAATTTCATGCAGATTCGATAGCCAGCTAGATAGATAGATGGATACATTCTGAAGCTGTAGTTACCTTACCGCCAATGGTCAAGCAGAACAAAATATAACGGAGTTAACAATTATGAAATGGAATAATAGATTCTCAAACTCAAGAAATAACTAACTAGTTCTGGGTGAGCACATATTATATTATTATTACATCCATCCAATTTCCAATTCCCTGGATAGGGCTGCTAGGGGCTGAGTTGTTTATTTATGATCATTACCGTTGTTCTTGCGCCGACCGATCCACCCGCCGCAACCCCACGCCCACCAGCATCCACGGGTCCGCGGTCAGAGCGTGTGTCAACAACTTTCTTTTTCTCCCCCGTCACATCTCCGAGACCATTCTTCTTCTTCTTTGCTATTTCTCCTCCTCCTCCTCCTCCTCCTCCTCCTCCGCCGCCCTCATCCTCTTCCTCTCCACTCTCCACTCTCCTCTCTCCTCTCTCCTTCCACAAAGCCCTCCGCAGGTTGTCTCTCTCGTTCGCCATGCCGCTCTGGGGAGGTGACTGATTGGGCTGAGTGACGTTAAGACCCTCCGTCCTCGATCTCGATCTCGATATCCGGTGCTTTGTCCAAAACATTTGGAACAATTCTCCGTGGTATAAATTAACTACGATAGTCAACTGCTTTTTATCCCATCCCGTAGTCGATCGACAACTGTGAGTCTGGACTTGGTGGTTTCTTGAGCGCATTTTAGGGTGATCCCATGTACAGCAAATACGTTAGTCTATCCTTGTCAACTCCTAAACAAATGAGCCGGGACGACCTCTGTATCTACGGAGTATATATAAACATTCTCTCTCCTCTTGTCTATCCAGCTAATCATTACGATGTATCTGACTCTAGAGATAATCTACCGTGTCAACTTTCCACATCGGGTAATCAGTGCTTAATAAGAGGAAAGAGAAGAAACAGAAGAAAAGAAAGAAAAGAAGGGAAAGAAGGAAACTCCACTACTATGCATATACTCCCGTCCTCCCTCGCGGAGGTGGTGATGCCGCTGCTGTGGATATGCGCATTCACTCTCCTCTCCATGCCTGCGCAGGCGCAGGTATCCCGCCCTACCAACGACTCGGTAGACACGTTCCTCCCTATCACCAAATATGAACTACTTACCATGCAGTTGACGCTGGGCCCGATTGGGCTGTTGCCACTTAGCACCGCCCTAAGGAGGTTGTTCCGGAGTCTCATTGAATCGGTAGGAATACTTTCACTATGATATCGCTCTGTGTTCTAACTCTGTTCGGCGGGCGGGAATTAGAGTTATGGGGCTGTTTCTCCTCCGCCACCCACCCCCACCTCCCCAGTAACCCACCCGTCCATACATCCATCCATCTATCAGCATAGGACTTTTTTTATTATTTATTTTTTTACACTGGCTAACTGTTATTTTCCTGTTCTTCCCTGTGATGTAGCGTTTCAACATCACTGGAACATTAGTGATCATAGATGCCAATAACGCCACCAGGCTTAATGGGAGTGATATCGCTCTAGTCAGCTGCGATGCGTCCGTCTCTTCTGGAGAATCCGACGTCGATGACGCCCTACGGTTAGCCATCACTGGGGCCTTCACTCCCAACGCGATCATCCTCTACAGCACCGAGTCTTCACATTGCAGCTACTCCCCTGGGGCCCTTAACTGGCCCCCATTCATGAATATTTTCACCATCACCAGTTCCCTAGCTGCAAGTGAGTTAACAACGGCCTTGCTCTCCGGGGGGAGGGCCTTCGGGGAATCAATTATAATTCCAAGTATGGATATGGGTTCATCGAGGCCTGGAAGTGGAGGTCAGCGAAACAACGGTAAGTATCATTCACAAAAAGAAAACATCGTGTCGTTTCTGAATCTAAGTAGATCTATCAGTAGCCATGATAATCCTGTATAGCATTACGGGGATCATAACCGCGTTGTTCCTTACCGTCATCATCACCGGAGCTGTTCGAGCCCATCTTAACCCCGATCGATATGGTCCGCGCAACACCGCTGGTAGACCTCGCCAGAGCCGTGCCAAGGGAATTGCACGAGCCATGCTTGAGACACTACCCATTGTCAAGTTTGGCGACCCCGAGGACGAAAGAGCTCCGACCGCGAAGCAGGACCTTGAGCTAGCGTCCAACTATCCAGATGGTGAACATGATCACCGGAGAAGTGACGCACGCACCGACGGCGTCACAACCCCTAAAACTCGGCAAGTAGACCAACACCAGCAACAACTGCAACCAGTGGCACCACAACAAGAACGAACAGCGACATCGGCCACGGTGGCGTCAACATCCCATGTGGTTGCAAATACAGTAAAAGAGCAAGATGAGGGAGTCATTGGCCCTGCTTCACCAGAGCTGAATCCTGTCAATCAGGATCAGTTGGCAGATTCTGGTACGCTAGGTTGCCCCATCTGCACAGATGACTTTGTGAAGGGTCAAGACGTGAGGCTTCTGCCGTGCCAGCACAAATTCCACCCGGAATGCGTTGACCCTTGGTTAATAAATGTATCCGGGACCTGTCCTCTCTGGTGAGCCCCCAAAATCCCCCCTTCCCCCGCCTTCTCTCCTCTCCCTCAAAATCCTTCTCCGAACATAGAATATAATGTAGATCGAATTATACCCCTGTGCTAACCCCCCAACCAACGACAGCCGCATAAACCTCAACCCTGAAGAAGCCGAACCCGAACCCGATGTCGCCGCAACTCCAACCTCCACACCATCCCGAGCGACTACGCCGACACCCCCATCAACGCTAGCCCGGCACTCCGGCCATTCCCACCACCACTCCCGCACCCCCTACGCCCGCCGCTACCGCAGGGTATCAACTTACTTCGTCCCCGCCTCTACTCGCGGCATGATATTAGACACAGGTACCGAAAACGATAGTGCGGAACAGGAACACCAACGCCAACGCCGCCTCTATACGCTCCGGCACATGCGCGGCAGTAGTGAACAACACCGCACGAACGACGGTAACAACAACGTGACGGCGACGGGGGCTATTACCGAGGCGTCGTCGTCACCAGCAGTAGCCGAAGGAAGTGGCCAGGGGCAGATGGATGAGGCGTCGAGGCGGAATCGGTTATCGACGTGGCTGAGGGAGCGGTTCCGGGTGCGGACGAGGAGGCATGGGGAGAGTGATGGTGACGATGATGGCGGTGGTGGTGCTGGTGGTGCTGGTGCTGGTGCTGGTGCTGGTGCTGGTGGTATTGCTAAACCCGGTACTAGTACGCAAACTGATACCGACGCCACTGCCACTGCCAGCGCCAGCGCCAGTGCCAGCGCCAGTGCCAGTCGGAGCCCCGCTGCCAATCCAAGCGGTGATACAGACACGGCTGCAGATATTTCCATCCCTACTACTTCCACACCCACTACGCCTATCCAACAACCAACGACGAGTGCAGCACCTACCTAGCTCAGTGGATGATCGATATATTATATCGTGTCTGTGAATCATAACATCCTCGTCCTTCATCTTCAGCTCCCTAATGCCTTCCTCTACCACAGTTGCCTTTTTTCCCTCGGATATATCTGATGATATGGTATTATACATAAGAAAAGCAGTCCATGTACATACGCCCACACATCCACACACAAAAGCATCACCAACGAACAAACCGCCAACCAACAAGAATATCCCACCTCTTACCTTGACTGCACCTCCAACTCTCCCCCCCCAACCCCCCAGCCACCATTTTTATGAACGATCGTCACGCGGAACCCCTTCTTCCCTATCTCCTGCCTTCCCCCCCTTTTTGACCAAATGTCAGTTGTTATTGCCTTTATATCTGTTATAATCCGCCGAGAGGATATGTCACGAATGCACGAATGGACGAATTGTGATGAGAATGGATGGATGGGGGGCCGGGGGGTTAAGTTGCTTATTTGGATTGAATATTGAATACATTAGCGTAACTAACATTCTTGAAGCCAGCGTGGGAATTTATTTATTCATTTACTTTTTATATGATTAATTATTATTAGTACTATCATATTTACCTACATTCCATGGGGTTTTTCTTTTCTTTTATTCTCCCTTTTCTTTCCCTGCCCCACTTTTTTTCTTTTCTCTTTCTTTTCTCTTTCTTTTTTTTCTTTTTTTTTTCTTTTTTTTCTTTTCTCAATTTGTTTTTTTTTGGTTTTTTTTCTTATTTGTTCTTTTCAGCCTATTTTTTTTTATCTTTTAATGTTGACTACTAGAGATTCTGCTATTATCACAATTAGTAAGTGTATATTTATGAGATTATATATATTTCTATTCTTATATATATATATATATAACTTGAGTATTTGTCAAGAGGCTTATCTTACAATTGAAAGCAATTTGAATATCTGTTTCTTTATTTAATTCTTTCTTCAGTTATTGATATGCTGATCTACATTGTTCACTGTATATATCTCCCAACACTATCCTCCTGGGTAAGAAAAAAGGAAAAACGACTTTCGGCCAAGCTCCCTTCTTTTCCGGGGGATTACATCTTTACAAATTCTTCACTTCCCCTATTGTTGATTGGTGCTCTTCCATGATTGAGATTCTAAAAAGAAGAAGAAAAAAAAATAGAAAAAAAATAAATTTTAGTAATTCATGAACTTGAAAAAGTCCGCGCTGGATCTCAGGGCAAGGAGAACGGGTGGTTCATCCCAGGATTTCTTTTTGTTGGCTGGGTATGTTTTGCCCATTTTTGCCTCTACAATAGATGAGAATATTATAAAGAAATATATTGATAATATTCTGGTTGAATAAAATAGTAAAACATCGAGAACAGAGAAATGGCCCGCGGATTACGTGCCAATGACGGCATCGGGCGGGCATTTCGAACTCAATCACTGCTTGGAAGTAGGGCTAGCCGAGCGCTCTGATGGCTGATGGCAGAACATATTGTAATTAATAAGTTATAATAATAAAATAATATATAAAATATATAAAATATAAAATAAATCAGGCACATGAAAATGGTCTACAGAGTCCTCCGAAGAGTCTCAAAATCATCTGATATGTATATATATATATATATCTCAATACTCCGTACAAAGACTAGCTACGGATGGATATATTGCTATTCAATTCTTGTGACGCCGCCCATCCACTGCCTCGGCTTGTTGGTACGGGGATACAATAATATATAATATTAAATAATATAAATAACCAGTTCGTCCTTGTCCTGCTTGGGTATCTACTGCGTAAGAACGGGGCTTCATCGGCCTTTTCTTTTTCTATTTTTCCTTGGTAAACAAACTTAAATCCGGGGAAAGCATCATCATTGATTCATCTCTGTCTCTGATATTTTCTTTCAACCGCCGCCTTGTGATATAACCAACTCACTACTCTACCCGTTGACCCGCCTACTTCACCTACGTCTTCACCTACGTCGCTCGCCCCTGTATACACACACACACACACACACACACAATCTCTCTCTCTCTCTCTCTCCCTCGCCCTCTGTGTGTGTGCCCCGGAGCCAGCAGCGCGAACGCTGATTGGCCACAGCCACCGCCCGCCATGTCTGCCCCGCGTGACTCCCCGCAGCAGCTCTCCTTTCCGCCGCTATCCTCCTCCTCCTCCTCCTCGTATAAACATCAACATCAACATCAACTTCATTTTCAACTTCATTTCTCTTCCAACTCCTCTTCCAATTCTCCCTCCTACTCTGCCGCTCCAGCCAGGTCATCGTCATCTTCCTCCTTAACCCCAAATTTCACAGCCCATTCTCGTCTCGCCAGCATCTCCCGCCACATCGCCATGGCGTCGCCCTCCCCCTCCATCTTCACGGCTACGTCCGTGCCTCAGGCCCCCGAAGACCCCCTCTTCGGCCTGATGCGCGCCTACAAACAGGACCCCTCCGATAAAAAGGTCGACCTGGGCATTGGTGCCTACAGAGATGACAATGCGAAGCCCTGGATCTTGCCTGTTGTGAAAAAGGTTAGTTAGTAGTGGCTTCTTTTATGTTGGGGGGGGGGGGGGTGGGGTGGTGTGTGTATCGCTAAGCGTGCTATCAAACTACGTAAATGAATTTCAGATGTATTAAAAATAAATATCAAACAGGCCGATGAGATCCTGCGCAACGATCCAAATCTAAACCATGAATACCTCCCCATCGCTGGTCTGCCAGAGTTCACCAGCGCTGCCCAGAAACTCATACTCGGCGCAGATTCACCCGCCATCAAGGAGAAGCGGGTAAGCACTGTCAATCCATCCACATACACCTCTCTCCATACCCCTTAAATCCACCCGATAATAATCCAAACCCATCCACAGGCCATAACCCTCCAAACAATCTCCGGCACCGGCGCCGTCCATCTCGGCGGCCTCTTCCTCTCCAAATTCCACCCCTCCAAACCCCCGCCAACAATCTACTTCTCCACCCCAACCTGGGCCAACCACCAACAGATCTTCTCAAACGTCCACCTCCGCACAGCAAAATACCCCTACTTCTCCCCCACAACAATGGGCCTCGACATCACCGGCATGCTCGACGCCCTCCGCTCCGCCCCGCGCGGCTCCATCATCGTCCTGCACGCCTGCGCCCACAACCCCACCGGCGTCGACCCAACACAGGACCAATGGAAACAGATCGCAGCTGTCATCCGCGAAGCGAACCACTTCCCCTTCTTCGACTGCGCCTACCAGGGCTTCGCATCGGGTGACCTGCACCGCGACGCCTGGGCGATCCGCTACTTCGTCGCGCAGGGCTTCGAGCTATGCATCGCGCAATCCTTCGCGAAGAACTTTGGCCTCTACGGCGAGCGGGCGGGCGCCTTCCACTTCATCGCCGGCCCCGGCCCACAGGCTGTCGAGAGCAGCGCGCACATCGCCTCGCAGCTGGCTATCCTGCAGCGCTCGGAGATCTCGAACCCGCCAGCGTACGGGGCGCGGATTGCGTCGCTGGTGCTAAACGACCCGCAGCTGTTTGCGGAGTGGGAGAGCGACCTGAAGACGATGAGCGGGCGGATTATAGAGATGAGACGCGGGTTGAGGGAGAGGTTGGAGAAGAAGGGGACGCCGGGGAGCTGGGATCATGTTACCAGCCAGATTGGCATGTTTAGTTTTACGGGGTTGAGTGAAGCGCAGGTTGCGCAGTTGAGGGAGAAGTGGCATATTTATATGGTGGGTTATCCGTTTCCCCCCTTTATGTTTTGATATATATGGGACGGCCCCTTGCTTACCTTGATATCCGACGTGCAGACTAAGAACGGCCGTATCTCCATGGCGGGTCTGAACGGCAATAATATCGATTACTTCGCGGAGGCTGTCGACAGTGTCGTGCGGGAGACCTCGTAGGTTGGAGAAGACAGAAAATAGGAGGTAGGTAGGGGTTCGTTGAGAAAAGGGAGAAAGGGGAAGAAAAAAAAAAGGTGGGAAGGTAAAATATATGAGGGATGGATGGGTTCTCTCAGTTTGAGTTGGTTTGGTTAAAAAAGACAGACAGATTTGACACCATGCTTTTTTTTTTTTTTTATTTATCTATTTATCTATTTTTTTATTTTATTTTTTATTTTTATTGTTTGTTTTATATAACTAGTTGCTCTCTTCTCCTCTCTTCTCTCCTCTGGTCTACTTATCATAGTTAAGCGGAAGTAGGTGGAGGTGAAAACCAATTGGAAAGAAACATTGTTCTTGAATTTATTTTCTTTGTTTTTTTATTTTTATTTTCTTGTGCTTCTTCTTTCAGTACGAACTACTCCGTACTCAACTCATCGGTGGGGGGGTGGGTGGGTCCAGCCCACGGGTATGAAGTAAATGCGGAGTGGTATATGGGGGCTATCGCTGTGGCAAAGACGATTATATCGGAAAGGGATAATAGGGAAGGGATAACTAGACAATAAGAAGAAAAAAAAAAAAAAAAAAAAGAGGGGCGGGGAGACGGTAGTGGAATAGATGGGATAATATGTCTGTCTATGCTATTGTTTCGTAGTTGTAGTATAGTGGGAGTAGGAGTAGTAGAGTAGTAAGTATGCTTGGTGGTATATATAGCGAAAACCGAAAACGAAAAAAATATATGCAGAATCCCCAAGCCCACGAGAGTTAGTATCCAAAAAGGAAAAAAGGTCACAATTAAATAGTAAACAAAAAGGAGGGAAGCACATTATTAGTTAAACCCGGACAAAAAAAAAATAATAATAAAAATGCAACATAACGCCGGGTATGTGCCGTCGCAGGTATATATATATATATAGATATATGTTCGTATGGCACGGATCGATCTGATAAATAGATAAATGGACCCCCCCCTTCCCCCCCTTACCCCTTAAAACACTCCCTCATGAAGAGCCGCTCCCGCTCGCACCAGCATTAGAAACCAACCCCCCCGCCAACAGCTCCTGCTCTTTCTCCTTCTCCCTCTCCCTCGTCAAGGTCCCCTTGGCACTGCTATTCAGAACACCATTCGCACCGCCGTTACCAATACCATTACCATTAGGAAGACCACCACCCGCCCTCCCCAACTCCACCTCCCCCGCAAACATCCTCTCCCGCATCCAAAACACAACCCGCGCACACAGCGGATCAACCCTCTCCATCCAAAAATACGCCGTAGCATACAACACCACATAAAAAACCGGCACCGCCACCGCGAACGTGCCCCACCCGCCCCGCCGCAACTCCGCCGGCGTCCCATCCTCCTTCACCCGGCCCCACGCCTCCTTATCCCACGCCTCCGCCCCGTACACCATCCACACCAGCAGCGATCGCAGCAGCGTGTTGTGCAGCAGGTAGACGGGGAACGAACAGCGGCCCAGGAAATTGAACAGCGGAAGCGTCAGGATGCGGCGCGCGTTGCGCGAGAAGAAGACGCCCGTCATCAGCACCGTGCAGCCGAGGTTGACCCAGTAGCGGCCGATGAAGCGGTCGGCGGAGGCTGGGGTGATGCTGAGCATGATGCGGCGCATGGCGAGGGACCAGCTGGTCCACTCGTGGTTGTCCTGGGGGAAGGAGGTAATGAGGAGGCCGGTGAGGATGAGGAGGGCTGGGAGGGCTTTTGGGAGGGTGGATGTTGCGCGGGAGCCGTAGGTGACTTGCAGGTGGGCGAGGAGGAGGCCGGAGTTTATGTTTATGCCGACGATGTCTGGGGGTGTTAGCTTTATATATGTCACATGCATGTATATATATATATATATATATATATAGATACCTAGGTATGGGAACTTACAGTCACTCGTGCACCATGAGAAGATATACAACCCAACAACAATAGCAACTCTCCACCGCGAACTAACAGACGACGTTGCCAGCAGCGTCAAATAAATCCGCATCGACCCACTCAGGAAGAAAACAATCGTCCAATGCACCGGGTCATACGTGCCGGAGCCATCGTTCCAAAATAATGTCCAATTCCTCAACAGGGCCTTAACCGCCGCCCAAAACGTCGGCCCAGGCACCTTGCTCACCATACGCACCCAGCCCGCATCAGCCCTGCGCGCAATATTAAACCCGCCCAGCTGACACACGGCCCACGCCACCGTCGCCCCGATATTGGTCGGGAAAAACAGCCTGCCAGAGCGGGTGAAGGTGGCCTTGGCCAGGTTCGTGAGGGCCAGCTCGGTGTTGCCGGCCTGCACATTCTTGACCGGGTTGAGTGAGTTGACAAAACCGGTGACGATGAAGAAGATGCAGACTGCGGCGCGGCCGCCGACGCAGAGGCGGAGGATGGGGAGCTGGAAGAGTAAAGGCCAGCCTTCCTTCGAGGAGGAGGGGGAGTGCAGGATTGGTGCGAATGCGGTGAGGAGGTGGCCGGTTACGACGATAAAGGAGGCGATTCCGCGTAGGCCCTGCCGGGGGTTGTGTTAGTTTCATAGCAAGGGGGTGGGAGGGTTTATATATGGGGGAATAATATATATAAATATATATTGTAACGAAAAAGCGCCCGTGCAACGACGTACATCAATCCAGTTATCATCGCGTTTTTTCGGGGGAGGAGCCATGGCTACCGCGCAGCAGGGGGGAAACGGGTGACCAGGGGTTACCTAGCTGCCCTTTCTCGTATATTCAGAGGAGTAGATTCAAAATAAATATAAATATAAATATAAATATAAGAAGTGGGGATTTGCGGGCGTGAAAAAGAGCCCATAGACGTAATACGAATATGAGGAATACGAATATAATAGGGCTAGGGCTTCTTGGGCAGCAGAACACCAAGACAACCTGGGTCTAGATGTAACGAATGGTATATCCGTAGGAAAAGATTATATACATATAAATTACTTTATATATATATATATATAAAAAGAAACGAAGGGAGGCGTCGTTGAGGGGGGGAGAGTTCAAAGCACCTCCATCTTGCGCCGATGTACGGCGGTTAGGGGTTAGGGAGGAGAGGAACAGAAATCGGAAACCCGAAACCGCCAAAGAACCGTTTCAGGAAAACAAGAAAAAGGGCGAACTGTGGAGAGAAAGTAAAGGAGAGAGAGACAAGAGTCAAAAATTAGGCTAGGCCCGACCCGTTTGTGATTGCCAAGTCCACCAGGCACCAAAAAGGTCCCCCGGTTTAACTAACGGGTTTAACTAGTTTAACTGGTAGGACGGGGGCAAAAGACTGATATGAGGATGGCTTGGCGGGGATGGGCCATCATGCCATAACTATAATCTCCATGTTGTATTTCTTTAGGAGTTTAGACAGACATGTATGTATGTCGTCTCATTGACTCGTGGGGTGAGTGGGAGATAACTTATAATAGTCAAGCCCAGCAAGGATGGATGTCGATTATTTACGATTAGTTTTTGACGTTTATTGCCATCGATACAAACGCCTAGGAGCTGTCTGTGATAGCGAAATGTATGTTATGGATAAAGTAGGTAAATGTACGTACAAGGTACATGTACTCTGTACATTCGTACACCGCCATGTTCAGTGAGATCTTAACAAGCATGAAATACCTGCAAAAAATAGTACAGTCTGCCTTTATCAATTACCACTAACCTCCTCCTACATGTACCACCTGTCCACAAAGAATCCCGCCAGAATAAATCACATCCACGGCTATATATATATATATCCGAATCAAAATATAGCATCCCAAATAATCAACCACGTACACAGCCCAACAGTCCCCCAAAAGACTGCCTGCGCCGTGCTCCGCCGCTCAGTGGCCCGCTTGAGATCCTTATTGGCTTGCCCTACATTGGCCTCTGTGCTGGCGGCGTCCGAGACAAGCTGGTTGATGAAATCTTCCTGCGTGGATAGATGCATGACCAGCGTCTGCTGCAGGGAGGATATCTCTAGGAGCGATTTCTCGGCGTTCCTATTTTTTTGTAAAAAAAAATAAAAATTGATTAGCGCGTGCGTGGTCTCTCTACATAGGTTTCCTGATGTTTCGTTTTTCGTTTTTCTTTGTTGAAGGACTGGGGATAGGGGACAATAAAGAGTAAATAAAAAAACCGGGGGAAAAGTGCAGAGTCGCATACTTCACTTTGCCCAACGTATCCTCATAATGCTTCAACAGTCCCTCATTCTCCTGCGCAAATAACTGCAGCTGCTCCGGCGACAGCTTCGATTCAATCTCAGCCTTCTCTTTCTCATCAATCATATCTGGCGGGACATCAGCTGCACCGGCAACGCGGTCCCTCATCGGGAACGACCCTCCCTCACTCCCTGCACCTACTCCACCTACACCAGCCCCAATCCCAGCAACACCACTCATCTTATACAAAATACTCTTCTCCTTCTCCCGAACCCGCTCAATCCGCTTCTCCACCATCCCCCTCTGCACCTCTGCAACCCCCTCCAACCGCCTCCGCAACCACCACAACACATTCTCCCGAACCGTCTTCAGCGTCCGCTCCGTCTCCTCTAGCCGTGCCTGCTCTGCCGAACCCGTCCCCGCACTCTTCTCCACCTGACTTCCCCCGGCAGCCCATTTCCACAGCGCGCTGTTCTTATAATCGAGCCCGAATTTCTTGCGCAGGAGAGTCGATTGCGTTTCTTGGCGGAGGGTTTCGGCGGAGGCGAGGTTGCTGATTGAGCTGGAGAGGTCGCGGAGGACGAGGGCGGTGGACGAGTCGATTGTGTCGCGGTCCGTGTCGGTTAGGGTTTGCTGTTTCTGGTCTGGTGGTTGTTGGAGGGAGGTGGTGGTTGAATGGCGGCGATGGGGGTGGGTATTTTGGGAGAAATGCGACCGCGGGGAGGTGGAAAGATATGATTGCCGGATGGACTTTAAGTAGGTGAGGAGGGAGGTTATATGGGCGTTCTGTCAATGTGTTGTTCGGTGTGTTAGTTCCAGACAGCTCAAAATTGGGGCATGTTTTATTTTGGATAAGTCCTAAGTATAGAAAAATATAGAGCATTTCTCCCTCTCATTCCAACGTCGTTGAACTTCGTTTTACATACTATTCTATACGCCTCCTTCAAAAACTCATCTACAGTCTCTGTTGACGGCCGCTGCTCTTCCCCGGATTTGGATCTGGGTTGAGTCACCCTGGTGCCATGGGCCTTGAGGAGCTCGCGGACGAGAGGGGTGATGTCCGTCATTACGGTCGTTACCGTTGCATTGGTTATGCCCGGTATTGAGATATCTGAGAAGGAGGGGATATATGCGTGTATGTGTATGTGTATTTCACAAAAGATGCCTATAATGGATGCCCAATTGATGCTGTGTTGCTGTGCTGGCGGATGTTGAAATGAAGCTCTGAGTGTGTTTGCTGCGTTTGTGGCTACTGTGGCCTTGCGGAGACGATGCTTAGTCATGCCGGCAGCCACAGTTCGGGTTTTCTGTTGAAATGGGGATAGATACCATTGTTATATCCAAAAAAAGAACACCGAAGAATTTTGTAAATATGAAGGGGTATGTATTTATATCGTATAATAAAGATAGATTAATGAGCTGAGCTAGTGCCCATATTACCACGGAAATATCCCCGGAAATATCCCAGGAAATACCTCTGACAACCTGCCTACATGAAAGCTGCCCACCCGAGGCTGTCATTAATCAGGCACTACTTGCCTCAAGCTGTGCAGAATTGCCAAGAAGAGTTAACAGGGGAACGAGGGTAAAAGAGTATAGAAAGATAGGGAAAAACAAGAAGAAAAAGAAGGAAAAAGAAAAAAATAGAAGGAAATAGAAAACTGGGAGAAGGAAATAGAAAACTGGGAGAAGAAAATAAAATGTCGGAAATTATTCAATTATATGTATATCCAAAAAAGTCTAGGTAGGATGAGTTCGCAAGGAAAAATAAACAAGATCCTAAATGGAGGAAGAAGAGAAAAAGAACGAATTAATTCTGCATTGTCACATAGCTGCATAGCTAACTTAGTGAGATTCACTCTTTTTCCTCTCATGAAGTACTGCCTGCATGCTAGAATACAGACAAGGAACCTAAACAAAAACGAAAACGCGAAAGTAACCAGGATATCAATACAGTACCAAAAATTTACGGGAGGGGAGACGGGGGAGAAACATAGAACGGGCTAGATATCAATAGACAAACGGTGGTATATTATGGAAAGGTGAGATGGACAAATAATATGCAGTACGGAGCTCGTAGACTCATGTGTAGATTATAAGCACGGAATATGAAAGTCATCGTCTCGTAAAATGTGTTGAATTGTAGGGGAAGATGGAGACAGAAGGACAGAGCAGATATATCTATACATAAAGCATTTTTCATACTTCTTGCGCCCAAATCTGCAGTAGAAAAATAAAGTCAGTCTCAGACACGGGGATAAATAAGTCACGAGAAGAAAGAAGCTCGTCTAAAGTTCGGGGATAAAAGAAAAAAGAAAGAAAGAAAGCAAGGAACATACCTCAATCTTCCCCATATCAAGCCCCTCCCTCCTCGCCTCCTGCCTGGACGTCGAAAGCAGCATATCAAGATCATCCTGGTCACCCATCGTAACCATATCTCCATCATCCTGCATCTGCAACCGCACCCGCTTCTTAAACCCAAATTTATCCCGAATTTTAGCTTCGAATTCATTATAGCCAACCGACGACCCAATCATGATAAATCGCACGTCGCTACTGGCATGCACCTTGGCTCGGATTTTGCGCACATCTGTCCGCCGTGAGGGTTGCCGCCGGTGTGTACGTGGAGGAGGAGCGCCCATCATCTCAAACTCGCCGTCATCCGCTGAATCATCTTCGTATGTGTCGCTAACGTAATCGCCATCTTCTAGGTAACGGGGTTGATGCTGTGCTGGTTGTCGTTGCCGCCTGACACTTGCCCCCCTGGTGTTTCCACCCAATCGGCCATTGTGAGGTTGAGCGTACATGTCGTAGACCTCATCGGCGTACACGTCTTCATCGACAGGTGAAAAATTAGAGTCCCGTTGCATTCGTCTGGTGGTTTCTCGGTACAGAGGTCGACCGTTTTGGTCACGACTCCGCGCGTTAGAATGCTGTCTGGAGGGCGGGCCGCGAGGTTCTGATGCTGTTCGGACGGTTCCTATCCGCGGCCTCTCCATCGGTTTCTGTGTTCCCATTGCCCCGGAGTCGTTCGTGGGTATGGCTGATCGACCCAAATCCAGCATCGGTGGCCGAGGGCCGCGTCCTGATAAACCAGATGAATTGCTAGGAGAGCCACTGCCTGCAACAGAGGGTGGTTTCTCTGATTCGGGCGGCGGGGTCGGTGGGAACAAATTTCGGCTGATAGGTGGTTCTGATTGCTGTCTGCCTCCACGACTGGTCAAGCCCTTCTGAACTAGATTTGAAGCTGCAAATGAGATTGATTCCGGCGGCCGGTCGTCTTTTGCTGTGTCGACCGCATTTCTTTTGATTTCGGACCCTTGGAAGCCAGTGAAGGCATTTGCACGGTCAGAAGCAGCAACTAGTCTGGCTTTCCCGAGATATTCCTTGGTTTTTAGATTCTTAACTTTCGCTTCACTTGGTCGGTATACAATCCCAACGGGAATAGAGAATACAGTATAACCCTGGGTAGGTCATGTTAGTCAAAAGCATCCAAGGGAACGCACAAAGTTCGTGAGCTTGAGTGACCTACATCTGCGTTTTCCTTGATAGCTTCATCGATGACTTCGTGATCCGGCTTAACCTTTTCTTTTGAAGCATATTGAAGGTCCTGCATGCCAGGCTCTGTTTGCTGGAGATATATGTAACATAGGCCGCGATTAAATAGAACTTCACACGAGTACAATTGAAATTTCAACCCCAGCTGCTCATAGTCAATCGACGTATTTCCTCTCAGGTAGAGTAGTGTATCGTTGAAATTTGCGAGAGCTTCTTCAAAATCGCCCACGAGGAAGTTGGAGACGCCTTGTTGGAAATATGCAACAGCAAAATACTGATCAAGTGCAACGGCCCGTTGATAGCATTCCACCTAGAAGCAAACAAAGAATTAATACCTTCATCCGAATTTTTTTTTTTTTTTTTTTTTTTTTTTTTTTTTTTTTTTTTTCGTTTTTAACATACCGCTCTAAAATGCTCTCCCAGAGTTGCATAGATGACACCACAGTTGAAGAGGATTTTCGATGTATCGGCGATATTATTAAAGACTTTTAGCGCTTCTTCGAACTCATTATTATCGTAGTTCGCAAGAGCTTGAACCCAGGTTTCGATCTCCTATATAAAAAAGAGTAAAGTCAGTCATCTGAAGGATATCAAAACCAAATACTCTAAAATGTGTCTTCCTTGCGGTTTCCGTACCTGTTTTAAAGACATTGCGCAACTTGCGGCGTTCCCCGCAACACAGACGCAAGGCCGGTTGTTCAGTCCCAAGCGCTGATTATCAGATGGTTTTGAGTTAAACGCTAGCGAGAGTTCTTCAGTTTGATAGAATAATATACAACTCGTAAAAGGCGGGTTTTTCTCGATGCTAGATGTATGTCGAGTTTGTGCTTAAGATTTGTTTTAGAGGGAGAAACGAAAGATGGAGAGAGACAGACGTATTATCTATCTCGAGGTGGCTAAACCGGCCACACTCTCCTCGCCAATTCGCCTAAGGGAAGTGCTCTGGGCGCGTGATGGCTGTGATTAGCGGAATGGCTTGCAGTTGATCCTCTCTTTTTGGGGTCCCAGCCTGCCAAATTAACCACGTAGCCGCCGAGCAATTCCCTTGGGGAGTATTCGGGTAAGGTATGACAGGGCCCTCGAGTTGGCTTTGCTAAATATCCTATTCCGGACGGCTGGCCAAGATGCAAGCTTGCAGACTTACGCAGCGTAGACAGCCATTATTTCTCCTGCACGTTAGCTAGATATGTCTGGTTGCAAATCAATAATGAGAAGTCGGCAATTTAAAGGATTTCTTGAAGGATATCTGGATATCTGCGCCGTAGCATAACCCTAGACAACCGAATCCACCGGTAGGCGAGAGCCTCGAATGCAGAAAATAGGAGTAACGATTCAATAAACGGTAAGCCGTGTGAGTTGTATCCGTAGGAGGGCCAGCCTGTAGTCGATATTCCCTTTCCGTTCTGGGTTTTCTTGCTCGATAAAAATAAACAGAAAAAACATACAACAATTAGTCAAATGGGAGGAGTCAAATTGCCGCCCGTCAGGTCGAGAGAGTAGAAAAAGGCCAGACATCGGCTAGAATGACAGCGACCTCTTTGCAGGCGACGGGGCTGTCCCCTTGACCTGAGCAAGGGGCGGCGGGGCAAGCCGCCTAAACATGCTCATTGTCGCAGGAAGCCAGAGGGGTAATGTGTCACAAAAGGCCAAGATGCTGCACCAAAGCCAGGATCCGCCATGGACCCGAAACACGGTTTGTGAGATGTGACTTGTTGAAGCAAGGAACTGGGTGGAGATCACGTCTGGCCCTCCTCCTTGCATTGAAGGCCGGCCTCGGCTCGAAGCCGATGATCCAGCTGAAGGCAGATAATAAACCCGTTGCGGCTGTCATTTGGCTGGTCCAGAATGCAGCAAGGTCAACAACAGCCCCTGGCTCTTGGACGCTCGCCAAAGAGCGAGGAAACATGGCATGGCATAGCATCTGCTGCCGGTGGTTGGTTGTTCGCGTGTGGCGCGCAGCCTGCGACGGGGTTGGCGGGGACTAGGAACATTTAGGGGCGCTTAACCGCCGATCTCTACAGGCCAACGCGAAATGGACGGATGGAGGTCTTTTGACTATCAGACGAAAAGTCGGTATGTGTTGATTATTATTGTTCTACTCTGATCGATACCATGATCTGATGTGAGAATAGTTAACATGTTTCTGTATTGCTCAATCTGATTTGATTTGCAGCTTTTGTCGCATATAAACACATGTCCATGGCTGAGTTTCCGGCAAGTCTGGGTTTGATGTGAGTGTCAGGGGTTCGGCCTCTACCAGACGTAGACTCATGAAGCCCAGTCCTGGAATACCTTGCCAGCCACTATTTTCGCAAGTATCATATCATTTTCTCCTTATAATTGTTTGCTATTTAAATCTGGTATCACATCTTAAAAAAAAGCATTTTCAGCCAACTTGAAATCGCAAGTTTAGCCTGTTCTTAACCTTCCCTCGCCATTAGTATGGCCCCTCAACCCCAGGGCTCAAACGACTGCATCGTCTGGGAATACCCTCCAAGGGGCCAAGAAGACAGACAGCCATCAAAATGACCTTCAGTCAACTTAAACACGGGAATATCCACAGCGATTCTTCACAACATTCCCTTCGAAACCTGCTCTACTCGTTCTTCCCATACGTTCTGACCGGAACAAGAACATACCATCTTATCGTTATCCCATACGCCAGCGCTGCGAGCAATAACCCCAACCAGCGTGTTTGGATCTTCCTTCTGGAACGGCCCCTCCTTGGATTTTGACACAACCATACTTCTCCCAATCAACTCCCATACGGCAACTGGACGGTCAAGGAAGACGTTCCCCTTTCCATCGCTGCCCACTTCTACCTCGCCAAATACTCCTCGCGGGAGGGCCGATCCTTGGACCTTCTGTTTCAGAGCCTCCCATATGCCGCCAGTCGATGCCGGTCCTTGGGAGATATCTCCCGTATCACGTACCGTAGCCCAATATTTCCCAGGCGGGAGGCCGTTTATCGTAAGATCAACAAGTGTCAACTTCGGGGAAACCTGGACCATGCGCACAAGTCCACGGATTGAATTCTGTACGGTACTGGAGTGTGTCTCTAGGATACATACTGACGCATCTTTTTTCGCAAAAAGAATATTTAACAAAACAGTAAGCGGGGGTCCTTTCGCGTATAGTATAGAATAAAAATACAAGGGGCCGGGGGTGTGCCCGGGAGGTGAGACTAACTGTTTGAGGATCCGCTCCCTCTAAGGATAGCATCTCTACCAGTACTCTGGATTGCAGCAACTATGGCAGAAGGCGCTACCGTTCCTTCAATGAGGAGGATCTGGTCCTTCAAACTACCTTGCACGTTCTTGACCCCTAGATATTTCTCGCCGTGAGTCACATGTTTTGATTGCGGTACTAGGAGGATAAAGCATTGACTGTATATCCCACCTACCGTCAAGAGCGTAGATGGGCTTGGATACCTCCTCGATACAGGCATCGCAAGTTAGAGGCACCGAAAATGTGGTCTATCCTTTTCCAATTAGTATTATACCCAATTTTGACAAGCCAAAGAAAGCTCATAGTACCTTAAACACTTGCATTATGGCTGCTGCACATATGTAGGCTTGGCGTCAATCGATCGCGAAATCGATGTCCTCTCAATAGATAGTAGTTCTGCCGCTGTTGACTCCAGGGTGAGATAAAACACATAAAGGCAAAATTCTGAGAAGCTGCTCTTGATCTCCATACTGCCGGACTCCATGACAGGACGAGACACGCAACCTTGGAAATAGTGGGGTTCGGCTTTGACCTTGCTTAGAAACCAGTCCCGAAGGCGATTTTTCCCCTGCCCATTGCCCGAACGTATAAAAGTAGATCCGCTCCGAGGAGCTACTCACCATCAAGTGAAAATAAAAAAAAAATAATACTCCGTAGTACTGCGTATAATCTCAAAATAAGAAACTCGCAGTTGCCCCTAGTATAAAGGATATGATCGTAGCAATACTGAGTGATCATAGAGATAGTAGTAGTCATGATCCAATAATAGGACTTTTAGATGATGTTTGATCGAAGGTAAAGTCCCTGCCTCTGTGTATTCAATAACCTTGGGAGGAGATTTTGGCTCTGTCCGAAAATAGTATTATTGTGACCCATAGCGGAACAGTGTCCCAAGGCACGGAGAATGCCTCTGTCTCTACATTGTACCTACAAAATTGAGAAGCATAGATATCACAATGACCACCCTTGGTTGTCGTAATAAGCGCGATGCCTTTTCGCCTCGCTGGTTTCTCTCCAAAGCCTTTCTGCACCTCATCTCCACCAGGACTACGAGATGAGCCTCCTTTCTCTCAATATTCGGAGAGAACAGAGTACGTTAACAATCTTTGGGGTATCTGGGGAAACCGAACGCTACCAAGAACGACTGTGGAATCAGATTCATTTCTCAAAAAACATGCCTGATACCAATGTTCACTGTCCAGCGAATCCTGATATCCAGTATCCAGTCAATAATTGGTGCTTTACCTTCAGCTCTCCATTGTTCCCTTTCGCTCAACCTCTTTGATTACGTACGATGTTGCCTACAACGTCGCCGCTCATAAGTTTTTGTTGGCCGTTACGGCCGTTGCGGTTAGCGATCCCACTAGATCACGTGACCCAACACTATATTATGTTCTTGTAGATAGATCTATCAATACAACATTCAACTATTCTACAGATTATAGCCTGAATAGCATATTTTTCTTTTTAGAATATTACATTAATATTTTTGACACAGATAGTTTATCTTTTTTAAAAAGACTTTCACTCTTAATTAGAGATATTTTATTTTCTCTGAATCTGCTGATCAGTAGATTTATATACTTTATATTTTTAAGAAAGTACATTCTTCATTGTGAAGAATATCACTTCTTTTTTATATCTAAAAGAAGCAGAGTTATCTTAATATAAGTGATATATCTGTACTTCAGAGTTCAGCTTAAGACTCAGAATCACATACTTCACTAGATAACTTATTAATAGAATAATTACTTATTATAAGAAGACTTCTGATTTATAAGATAAGATTGAAATCAGTTTTCATCAGAGTATGAAATTTGATAATAAGATAATAGAGAAATTTCAGAATAAAGAAAAGTAGAGTTAATATTTATCTACAGAATTTATTTATTTTAACTTATTAAATTCTTTATTATTTCTTATTCTTAGAATGTTAACTTTTAATAATAATCTGAATTAATCTATCTATTACACTGTAGATAATCTTATGAATCTTATATAGATAATACTATAGAATTAAATAACTGTAACTGAAATTACTTAATATCTCACTATATCTATCTCTATATAAAGAGATACTATGAGAGATGAGTTGTAAGAATATTAGAAGAAAGTCAAATATATACTAGATATAAAATTAGTAATTATATTTAATAACTCTAATTATAAAGTCTGATATATTAATATATTAACTGATATAAAAGTTATTAATAAAACTGATATTTTATTAAGAACTTAACAAGAATTCTCTTTTATATATTATATTAACTCTGAGAAGTGAAGAATTTATTTCAAGTCTCTATATAGATATATACTATTAAATCTTATTAAAAATATTTAAATTACTATTAAAATCTTAAAAGCTGATAATACTGTAACTCTGTGAAATAAGATTAATATTGAATATATAATATCACTGACTGAAGAACAAGTTAATATCTTTAAAAAATTAATAAAATTATAAGTTAAAAATAATTATCTTACTTTTCAGAGATATTTTCATTATCTTATTATTTATTATAAGAAGCTCTGTCAGAGTACTGAGAATATATACTATAATCTTTTTCTTAATAATCTACAAGATTATCAAAAACTGTTTATTAAAATATATTTAAATAAGTTTTTCTTCACTGATCAGAGACTGATTGTTAATATTAATATTAATAATTTAATAAAGCAACTGATCAATCATACATTCAAGAAGATTATTATTAAGTGAAAAAAGTAGTCTCAGACTGATTCTATAACTGTAAAAAAGAACAAGAATAAAGATAAAAATAAAGATAAGAATAAAAATATATCTGTATAAAAGTGCACTCACTGTAGAAGATATAAATATACTATTAACAGATATTTTATCTTACACTCTGATAAAAAGAAAAAGAAGAATGATAAGAAGAAAGAGAAGAAGAATAACTTAATAAGTTCTTAATCAGTAGTAAATACAGTAATTATAAAGATTGAGTTCTATTTCTTTTTCACAGTCACTGAAAAATCATTCTCTAGATCTTAGTATTTGAATATATATATAAGTCTGAATATAATAGATAAGCTTTATTCTTTTTCAAATATTAAATCTTTTAATAATAATATCTCTGTTAATTCTGTCACTGAAGAAACTGAATTTATCAAGAAGATTAAAACTATTATCTTAAAGATTAAGAGTGATAATATTAACTTATAGAATATTTACTATATTTCTAATATTACAGTTAATCTGCTCTCATTTACAAAGCTTGAAGATTAAGAATTTCAATTTACATTATTTTTTACTATTCTCTTATTTTTCATTTACAGAGCTCTGAACAGTGTTATTTTTTATACAGTTCAGATCACTTAGAATAATATTGTAAGAAATCCTGCTTCTCACAGATTCTTTATCTCTATTTCTATCTCTTATATAACTAATAGAGCTAGCGGCTCTTGACTACACATAACTATATAGACTGGAGTTTGTGAATACTATTTATAACTCAGCTTGAATGCTATTATACATTTAATCTCTACATTTTATCTTTCTACTGTGAATACTTCTAGTAGTTAACAGTATATATCATATTAAGCTGTAAACATCTGAATAATTGCCTGTGAGCACTTATTCTTACATTTCAAGCTCAGTCAGTCAGCAATTATCTGTTATAACTGAAAGAACTAGAAACTTATATACTTTAATTTCTGTGAACTCTACTGCAGACACTCAGAAGCAGTCATCTGAATTATGAATAATCTCTGTGAAACAAGTCTCAGAGAACTTATTAATTACTTATAGAATATTATTCTCTATATCTGTGACAGAGAAACTCTCTGAATCTCTGAATAAATCAATCTCAGTGAAGAATATTCTTGAGCATCTCTCACAGAATCAAGCTATTTTTCTACAAGAAATGCTTACTGTCTGTAAACACTCTTAAACTGAGTCTCTAGACATGATCTTCAGAGATATCTATGAACTGAAAAGAAACTTTCTTAAGTTACAATTACTTAAGATTATTTATCAAATCACAATCTATAAAAGCTTTGATGAGTTTATATTTGAAATTGACTTACAAGTTCAGCTGTGTGATATAAAAGATGAAGAAGCTGTCATCTATGTGATAATAGATCTCTATTACACTGAAGTCAAGAACTGACTGAATCATTTAAAGAATGATTATAAGAGATTTCACTGATCTGTTCTTAAGATCTATCTAGAGAATAAGTTAAGAGACTCTACAAGCTGAACAGAGAACACCTGAGCTGTGATCACTAATATTAGAAAAAGAGATAAGAAATCTAATAAAGACTACTTACAGTGCTTTATAAAATTATAATGTGAATTGAGATCTGTAAAAACAGAGCTCTGAAACAAGATCTAAATAATGATATTTATAAAAAAGCTGAATAAAGATATACAGAATAAGCTTATTAAGCAAGACTTTAAGCTCTTAACTCTGAAGAAACTGATAACTCTCATTTACTGCTTATAGATCACTGTGAGAGTCATAAATCTACAGAGAGCAGATCACTGACTGACTCTGTAAGAGTTAGAATAACAGAAAACAGATTTATCAGAAAAAGATAATAAGATACAGAGAGATTCATATCTGACTGCTGAGTAGAAAGAGAGAGCTTTATAAGCTTCTGTAAACAGAGTATATAATAGAGAGATTAAGAAAAAGAGACTCTGCTTTATCTGTTCTAAATCAGAATATCTTCATGTAAACTGTCTGAATAAATTAAAATAGAAATTTAAGAAGTTATAAACAGAGTCAGTAACAGCCTTCTTAAGAATCTTGAAGCTGACATCTGAATCTGTTACTCTCTTAATGAAAATGCTTACTTATAAGAAGAGATTATACTATGATACTACTGCTCTGTAAGTATGAAAAGTATTAATAAACTTAGAATCTCAGATCACTGTAGTGTCTCTAAAGCTTGTGAAGTAAATAAGCTGAAAGATGAAAACTGAGAATCTACTCTTATAATAAGTAGAATATGAGAACTCAGATCTGAGAGCTGAGAAACTTATAAGAATTATCTTTGAATTATAAGATCTCTCTGAAATCTAAAGAAGATTTGTAGAAACTGTGATTATTGCAGATATTACAGATAACATGTACTTAAGACTTGTATAACTTCAAAGATATAATTCATATATAGCTGTCTGTAAGTCAGGTTTATACTTCTGATCAGTGTTGATAGACTTACTTATAAAGATAGAATCAGTTGATACTGCAGAGTTGATTAGAGAAGATAAGCTCATCTATATAATGACTTTGTAAGTATCTGAGAATCTTGTAATTATGAAAACTGAGCTTCAGATATCAGAGAAATACTGAGATCT